CAGCACGGCACAACTTTTCAAAGGGCTCCAGATTAAAGTCACTGAAAGTTCCCACTGGGGTCTGAGGCCAGGATCCCATTAAGCAGCCCTACCACACCGCCGGCCATAATTGTGTCGTTGAGAATTCAGAGCAGTGGTTGCTTGATAAGCGAATTTAGGGTGAAATAAAAAAGGAGAGGCAAAAAAAGGGGTCTCGTTGGGCCACCATTAGACACTTCATTCGCTCATTGCTAATTTGTTTTAAATGACTGAGGGAGAGGTGAGCACTTTATAAAGCAATCTGAGCTACCTTTTTTTCCCCCCGCAATTCCTGTCTGTGCCACAGAATGCTGATAAATGAAAAACATTGCCGTTTATAGCCACACACTACACTGCCGCTAGTGGTGTTTTAAACTGTACTTATCTTTATCGCACTTCTTGCTTTGCAGTAGGATAATCAATAAGTCCCTCTACTCTCATCTTGAGGAAACCGGTCAGTGCATCACTAGTAATGACAATTATTACTCAGTCCTCTGAGTAAACACCCTCTAGTAAAGCCAACAGATTGTTTACAACTACTTTTATAAATAACATAAAAACATGCTACAAACAAGTCAGGTTTTATTGAGTATTTAGTTTCATTGTGGATCTGAATGTTACAAATGGTTTCTTTCAACATTTGAGATTCATCACCATCAGAGCTGTTTGCTGAATGATATAAAAACATCCTGTAGGCATAGTTTAAGGTCTAAACCATAACCTGAGATCTATGGATGTGCTTTTACATATTGGTCAAATCATTAGCTGGAAGTATAGGAACTAGTTATTCTTTGCAACTTGTACAGCATCACTCAAATGTGTGCAAGACATCAAAAGATCTCAAATTATGATTCAGCTCTTTACAATGAAATAAATGAGAGTAAACCCTCTGACACATACTAATATTTGCAACCGAAATATGCTATTGTCATCCAAGTGCAATAAAGAAAAACTCTTAGTTAACTGCTTCAGGTGGATTTTTTCTGTTTCTTCTTCTCTGCCTCTTCTTCTTTCTCCTTCTCGATCTCAGCCACCAGGGTCTCAATTTCCTTGGATTCCAAAATCTGCAAACAGCCAAGAAAAGTAATTATCACCCTATAAATAAAAAGGTAGAACAAAATAAAAAGATAAATATAATTTGCAGCAAATCACCTTCAGTGGCTGATTCCGTCTGATAACAGCAAGTTCAATATTCTTTCCTCCTGACTGGACAACCTATGACAAAAAAAATACTTTAATGTAACAAATCCCAGTGAATCAGCATATATTGACTCCTGTAGCCTCCAACTCAAATCCATGTTGAGAAGCTGTGACACGTTGTGAGGGTATTTATGTGCAATTAAATCCAGCAAAGTAAATCCTTGACTTCTGTGGGTAATTCTGCAGTAATTTGTTGTAAGCATCGCTTAAAAATTTCCTTTTACATTGAGTGCAATTTCGATGGAAATTAATTTGAATAACACCTTACAAAGTATCACAGAATGTGACAACACAGATACAAATTTCGGTCTATTGAAATGAAGCATTTATTTTATTTGTTTCGTAAGAAAACTAAAAGCAGAAGGCAGGTTCTGCTCAAAACAACAGGCAAAGTCACACATGGTAACGATTCTGGCGGATCACTTTATGGTTCACATCTGGCAGCAGGTGGTGCTCTTTGATAAAGGCAAGACTGGATTAAATTCACTATGATAGGTGTAATTACATTGGAAGCGACAACTTCTCCATCTAATTTTTCACATTTACGTCCTGTCTATTTGTGACATCCTCTATATAAAAATGCCTTTAAAACATATGTATGGCAGTTGGGTAATCCTGTTGTAAAACAGCTTTGTAATTATTCAGTTTCAGTATATGTAGTTAACGACAAGGTGTGCAATTTCAAATATGTCAATGCAAACACTAAATCCGACCTTACCTCAAGCAAAGCTTTGATAGCCAACTTGATTGCCTCATTGTCCCCAGCAATGGCTTCATCTGTGTAATTCTTCTCCAAGAACTCCCTCACAGTTTTTGCACTGCGGCCAATTGCGTTTGCCTGATTTTTTTCAAAAATAACAAAAAAATCAATTAATAAATCAATTTCATATTGATAGGGTAGTTATTGGAAATATGTGGCAAGAGAACAAAGTAATGTACAAAGAGCACACTCACTGACCTTCCAGGCATGGTAAGTTCCTGACGGGTCTGTCTGATACAGCCTGGGAGTTCCATCGTAGTCAAAGCCAACAATTAACGCAGAGATGCCGAATGGCCTGCGCCCATTGCTTTGAGTGTAGCGCTACAAATATGGCCAATATACAGACCAATGTTACTGGTTATTCTTAAAAATCTTTCTTAAAAATATATTAGCCAGCCAGAAACCAGAGAGTAGAGCACAAGAGCTGAAACTGATGTTCTTACCCACTGAATGTGAAATCTTAGAAGTTCCTTTGAGTAAATTAACAGCAAACAACAGATTAATTGTAAGAAGATTAAATACCTGTTTCAGTGTAGCTATGTAGCGTGTGATGTATTCCACTGTGACTGGGTCCTCAACAGTTAGCCTGTGGCTCTGGCACTCAACCCGAGCTCTGTTTATCACGATACGGGCATCTGCTGTCAGACCTTAAAATCATTGAAAGAAGTTAAATAGCTACACAACATGCAAATAAAATACAACAGGAAATTCCAAGTCAAAAAAACTGCTATATGATGTTGATATCTGCAGTGATGTAGAGTAGTGTCACAACAAACTCAGCTGTTTCAAAATAATACTAGATGTGATACAATATTACATAATAAATGTATTATTCAGTTACTGAATAAGATTGTATTGTTTGAGGTACCTGCAAATGCCATGCAGACATGCTCATCCAGGGCACATATCTTGCGGACAGTCCTTTCCTCCTGCAGCTTTGCTACAGATTTCTTCTCAACACCAAGGACAACAATGTCTTTACCTCTTATTCCCACCTGCACAGAATATAAATAATCAAAATTATTTCAATCCCATGGGCTAGCAATTGTTGGTATGATATTAAGTAGTAAAGGGAAAATATCCAGAATTTCAAATCAACTGAGTTCACAGACTGACATCTAAAATCCAGAACAGGTCTTTTTACTTCAAGTTTGATTTCTTTCTCTAAAAAGACTGTTTTCTTCAAGCAGGCTTGAGGAGCTTGAGGAAGAGTTGTAAGCCAATCGGTACCTTCAACACCAAATTGATCAATTGAACAGTGACATCACAGTATTCACATGCTCTGCTCTTAAGAGAAAAAGTACTTTAATACAAAATTCCTTCAGGCTTAAAGTTTGAAAGAGGGTATTTTGATTGTTTCCATGCACGTCAATCACATTACCAACAGGTCAGATCATTACATCAAATTCAATGAACAAAATTGGCTGGATTACTTCCAAAACAATTCATGTCAAGTTACACTTTTTCCACACACTTTAGGGGTTAAAGAGGTTAACGTAAATAACGCGAGGTTCAACGGACTTAAATTGAATATGAAAGTCAGGTGTAATTCTACCTGAACTTAGTAATACAAAAGTTATCTATATCTTAGTTAGCTGCAACTACAGTGATTTTGTGACTATATAAATAACTTAAAGATAGCTAACAAACCTTATTAATTAATAATTAATTAAGTACACTAATTTAGTGCACTTACGGTGCCACATAGTATCTGGGAATTATCGTGTAAGCTAACATTGGACATAGCCCTGTGTGTTTACCACCTTCAATGTTTGAATGATAATGTATTTTAATATGTTTGTATGTACAACTTCCGGGGCAAAATACAACTTCGATAACCGCATGTAAAAGAAAAAATGTTTCTGGCGTTACTTGACGTTATCACATTGAAACTGAAACTATTGTGAGAGTGACACAGCGACAAAATGCTCGCTAACAGCAACCTACTCTTTTCATTTCTAGTAGCTGATTAATATTTCATACATTACAAGTGGAAGTTGCAGACCAACAGTCTAACAAGGTCGTAAAAAATCACAACACATGAGTATAATACATTGTGTGAAACACGAAGTTAGCTAAATATATTAGCAAATGAGTGCCTGCTACTCGCTATCTTAGCTAGGCTAACTACCGCTTGCGGACGTTAGCGTTAGCATTAGTTTAATTTTACCATTTTACGACTTACCGCTGTGGAACCTTTTTTTACAGCTTCTTGTGCATATTCCACTTGAAAGAGATGGCCATCAGGAGAAAAGACAGTAATAGCTCTGTCATATCTTGCCGCCATTGCACTGCAAGACAAGTACAATCACAAGGAAAGGGGGAGATTTCAACCAAATGATTCAGCTAGTTAGTATCAAACTGCTCAGTCTATGATGCTGCCGTGTGTTGAAAACTGCGCCTGCGCATGACCTCTGAACCTCGGGCGATACCAAAACCAGAGGAAAGTTGTAACTATCTTTTTTGTGACAGAAAAATACTATGCATTTAATTTGTGCAAGTGCTCTGCGAAAGAAATAAGTTTACTTCGAAAGTTAAAGATAAAAAAAAACCGTTTCATTTACTCGGTTAATTTAATTAAGCCTGGGCAATGTGGAATGATGGTGCAATGTGGGAGACTTTTAAACAGATAAAACTACGAATAGTAAACATTTTCTTGAGCCATTATTGCCTAAAACTGTCAACAATATTATAAACATTTTCTAAGATATATAGGTATATATATTAAAGCTTCGACTGTATTTCCCCTTTTTTTTGAGCAGTCCATTTCCCGTGGCCTTTCTGACTAGATCTAGACCGTTCCACTATATGAAAAATAGGTGGAATTGCATTTCAATTAAGTAAAAATGTAGGTGCTTTCAAGTATATTAATAAATGTGTGTTGAATATTAGAATTTATCGTCACTAAATTTAAACATCACGCATTCCCATGTGATCAAAATAAACAATACTAATAAACTATGTTTTAAAATGTGTTGTATCCCCCCAAAAATGGACCGCTGCATTACGAAATTGCATCCTATTCTGAACTGTTTGATCTGAGTTCTCCCGATTTGTTAAGTGTGTTAGCTACTATTGATTTTATGCTCTAGTTCACTTTCATTTTATAGAATATCACCATGTCGGTGGCGTTTGCACCTCACAGGCAGCGTGGGAAGGGTGATATAACACCCGCTGGAATACAAAAGGTAATTCATCTTTTTTAGCGCGTCGCAGAATGGAGGCTGTAGAATCAGACGCTGCTAGCCTTTGAGCTAATCAATGTAGCTGTGCCCATCCAAGTCCAACTGTGAATAGATCGGGAACAATGTTGCAGGGTCAAAGCGCGGTGAATATGAACCTCTCTGGAGTCAGGACGCCATGTGTAGACAATAGGTCTTAGGTCGACTTACCGGACTAACGCAGAATTTAATTTCAAATGAATGGAGGCCTGCGTTTTTGTTAGCTGGGGACAGCTAGCTAGCAAGACGCGTCTTTTGTTAGCTAGAAACGCACACTCATATTTAACAAAAACGCCCCCCATCCTGCCCGTTCTTTGCAAATTACGGCAGATTAACGATCAGAAAGCAAACCACACAAAATTACTCAGTCTCATTCATTTTAAATGATGTGTTCTCACACATAACACAAACGTGATATAAATCTGCATTTACTTTTGCAGCTACTTGACGAAAACAACCAGCTGATCCAGTGTATAATGGACTTCCAGAGTAAAGGCAAAACCGCAGAGTGTTCACAGTAAGTTATGAAAATTCCGTCCTGTCTCCACGTTACAGTAAATTTAAAGCTCACATTGTCTCAAAACCTGTAATGACGACTCTCCACCTGCCCAGGTATCAACAGATGCTGCACAGAAATTTAGTGTACCTTGCCACGATAGCAGACTCCAATCAGAACATGCAGTCTCTCCTCCCTGCTGTGAGTATTGGTTCTTACTGACTGTTTTGAGTGAGTGAAATGTAAATAACAGTGTGACCTCTCTGCCTCATATGGTAGTTAATGTTGAGTGCTTGTATTGGAACATGTCACTTGGGGATTAGTTAAGGTGAACAGTCTAAGCCAATAAAAAAAGGGTTAAAAAAAAAATAGAGATGTTAAACAAAAAGATCGACGTAATAGTACATCAAATAATAACTTGTTATTTTGGACATTCTAATAGACAGCCTGACATGTTAATTTTAGGTGTGTCACTTCCCACATTAAATATTACAGTCTGAAAGATTTCATGGCAAATGTGTAATATCCTGTTTTGGTTATTTCAAAGATCATCCAGTTAAGAGTTTCTTGTGACAGCTTTCTGAAATACGTACAGAATTTTTTGGAGCTTCACCCATACTAAAGGTGAAAAGTCTCTACATCTCTGATCTTTTTCTTTTGCAAGTCCCACAACTTATTTAAACACTATATGAATTGAGTTTTTTATGCACTGTAATAGTGGTAATAATAGTAAATATTTTGGGTTGCTTAGACAACTAAATTAGACACCCCATCATATATCATATCATGTCATGTCATATGTAAAGCTCCAATAGCCCAGATTGGACTTACTATCAATTAGGTAGTAATAGTATGTGCTCAGTTTGTTCCACCTTCCATCTTCTCTTTAACACCTTTTGTAGTCCTTAATGGTCACTAGCTGTGACTTAATTGATTGTACTTTATTCAGTGATTATGTTACAACGTACCACATGACTATTTATTTTCCCTTTTTTAAATATGCATCTTTGGAAATTTTAGTCATCCTGCTTATTTTTCTTGAGGTTTCTCCTTTGAGTGGCACAGGCTCAGATGTGTTTCTAGCCAGCTGATGTGTATTTTTGTGTGTGTGCTGTGCGCCTGCAGCCGCCCACTCAAAACATGCCTATGGGCCCTGGTGGAATGAACCAAAGTGGACCCCCTCCTCAGCCTCCTCACGGCCACAACATGCCCTCTGAGGGTATGGTCAGTGGTGGCCCTCCAGCCCCACACATGCAGAACCAGATGAATGGACAGATGCCTGGTAAGTGACCCCCCCTCCAAACATCCCTCCCTCGTCTTTCTCTCTTTTCTCTCTCCCCTTCTTCTCCCTCAGTCCCTGTCTCACTTGGGTTGCCTAGCAACAGCACAGAACCATGAGGGAGGTCGCTCTGCTGAAGGATGATGTCACCCATTTGCCAGCTCTGGTGGTCTTGGACTTGTACTCCATTTGATTATGCTTATGCTCTCCTCCTTAATTATCATGGTTTGCTTTAATGTAGGCTGTTTGGTTTTTGTTTGCAAATTTGAATATTTTATTATTTTATTGTTCTGCAATGCATAGAGATAGCTTGAGATCATGTTTTTTTTTTTTTTTTTTTACTAAGGCACTGATTGCTTTACCACAAAATTATTGTAATTTGTAAAAGGTAAAAGTCTAGGGCACTTTGTAGAAACCAGAAAACACATTAGTGATCACTTAAGCTGTACCATGCAATGCCATTCTGTTTTTGGTTTAAACGTCACAACAGAGAATACACATTCTGGTTGACAGTATTATGGTATTACTTGTATTCTGTGCCAGTTTGGAATAATTTTGTACTTTCTTCACATAAAAGAGTTGCCATCTTTCAAAGTTTTTTTCCATCATAACTTCCCACTTTTTGAATATTGCAAGAGAGGAATAGATTACAAGAAGAGGCAAACACAAATGAACTCATTAGAAAGAGGTGCAGGCAATTAATTAGAGTTACTTACGTTTAACAAATAATTATGTTTTTTTTTCAAAGTGAGTCATAAATCATCTCTGCCATTATTTTCCAGGGCCAAATCACATGCCGATGCAAGGTCCCGGTCCAGGCCCCAACCAGCCCCCAAACATGCCCAGTGGCTCAATGAATATGCCCCCCAGCAGCCATGGCTCGATGGGTGGTTACAATCACACCGTCCCGGCCTCCCAGGGCATGCCAGCTCAGAGCCAAATGAACATGACCCAAGGCCAACCCATGGGAAACTATGGGCCTCGGCCAAACATGAACATGCAGCCCAATCAAGGTAAAACAGCTCATTTGTTAATTTCCACTTGGTTGTATTGATTTCCAATGCCTTCTCACCTGCCTCGCTAGTGTGTACTGCACATCATTCACGTGCATTTGATAAACGTTGTATGGGTTTTCTCTCTAGTATCGTTTGAGAGTTAACTCTTGTTGGTGTACTACAGGCCCCATGATGCACCAGCAGCCTCCCTCCCAGCAGTATAACATGCCTCCTGGTGGTGGTGGACAGCACTACCAAGGACAACAGAACCCAATGGGCATGATGGGCCAGGTCAACCAAGGGAACCATGTCATGGGGCAGAGGCCAATGCCACCATACAGACCTCCACAGCAAGGTATACCCCTCAGAGTGTGTCTGTTAAGTGTGCAAGTTGTGAGTGTTGGTTTTCCTTCTCCCTAACCCTCCCTCCTGCATTTCTTACTATTGTTCCTCTCAATTTCCTTTATTTCCACTTCTGTAGCCCACAGACATCTTGATGACTAAAGATGTGACCTAAAGCCTCCAATCATAAAATTAGCCAAGTGACCAAAAGAAAGCTTTCTAACAAGAACTAGCGGCAAGGACTCCATCCTCTCTGCTCTTCCCCTCACACAACCGATCCAACAACACCTTGAATCTACTTGTGTGTATGTTGTGTGTATGTGTATGTAGGACCCCCTCAGCAGTACCCAGGGCAGGAAGACTACTATGGGGACCAGTACAGTCACGCAGGACAGGGAGCCTCAGAAGGTAGGAGATCCCTCCAGTCGCTTGGAGAAACCCAACAAAAAATGAACCCAGGAGTTGTGTTAAAACACAAATGATGCAAAGAGACTGCGACAAAGGCAAAATTTCAGTTTCTTCATTATTTTCTGGGAAATCAAAGTGACTTTGGGCTCTAACAAAGGAAAAAATGGTATTTGGTATTTGATTTTGAAGAAACATCCACATACCAGGGTGCACCGTATTCCAAAAGGTGCTGCAGTCCGTGGATAAGTTAGCACCCAGTCTTGTAATGACATCCCCCAGTTGTGGTTGGTGCTCTACCTGTGGTGTGAAAGAAAAGTCAGGGACAGAGTCTTGTGTGAGTCTTAATAGTCAAAGCTGTACCAACAAAAGGTAACATGCTCACCCTTCAGATTGCCACATGTGATGCCTTTTATATCAGGTGGCATTTTTAGAGAAATATCCAATTAGTGTGTTCAAGTGCTTCTCAATGATCCAGTTTCCACTGAAATGAAGCAGACGGCCTTTATTTGTTAATATACAGATTTTGTGTAGACAAAATAAGGGACCTGTGTGATTTGTAGAAGAGCAGCGCTAGTGACTTAAAAATCTTTTTTTTTTTCAGAAATGCTACCACTGCATTATGCTCTAAATTTAACAGTGGACATACTGCCAGTTTTCTCCATCTGGTGTGTTTCAGGGTGATATAATTACGTATTATAACAGAGTAGCAACACTGAAAGATTACAGATTCATATTCAACAACTTCTTTTCTTTCTTTGTCCAATTAACATTTACTTTTTTGTTGTTTGTTTTGTTTTTCCCCTCTACTGACTACACTGTTTTCCTTTTGACCTTTCAAACACAAGTGTTTTCCTTTTTTGAAATGAAGAAAATCCAGCCATTCTGGGAAAAAAACCCACAGCTGTCTCAGAAACTGCTGTTACCAAGACACTGAAGTATATTGTGCATCTCTGGACTCTTCAATAATATGATCAATTTCATCTTATCCCTCTGAGATTTTCTGAAGTACTTCAAATGCCAAGCAATACTTGAATACGTTTATTGTCTTAAGTTAGCTCTATGTTTCCACGTTGAGCTGATGTAGGTCATAATGATTACAGTTTGCAGCCACCATATCCCGATCAAGACAATGGTAGGCCTTATGTGAATCCCTCACAACATCTGTGTCACGGAAAGGATCTTTATAACTTCATCTAATGTGTGTGCTCATGACAATGCTGACGTAGTTTTGTTTATTTATTTATTTATTTTTAATATATTTAGATTATTTAGGTTAGGATGCCTTTTTGCTACCATTTGATTTTTGAAAAGTATACACTATAGAGAAGTAGCTAAAAACTAAATATCTAAATGCTCAATATTTTACCAACTTAGACTTTATACATTACCTGATACTTCAAGTGTTGCGAGACACTGACTGGGACTTAAAGCAGTCAAAGCTTACTGAGATATGAAAATCAAGTTTCCTTTCTTCACGTTTACTTGAATGTCGTTAATGTCAATCATTTACTGTTAGATAGTATTGGATACTAGATACTATTATATTTTTGTATTTAATCTTTTTTTCTTCTTCTTTTTTTTTTGATGGCTGTGTATGCCAGCCAATGTACAATTAGAGGTGCATCTTAAGAGAACCATCCAAAATTGATGGAAAATTCGTCTCTTAAGTAATGGCATAGACCATGGCATAAACGATCTTTATTCAATGTCTACCTGCCTGCTTTGCTGTTGTCAGCATGTTGCTCACATTGCCTGTTGTTGCCCCCTGAAGGTAATGCCCAGTATGGCCAGCAGCAGGAAGCATACCAGCAAGGCCCTCCCCAGCAGCAGGGCTACCCTCCTCAACAGCAGTACCCGGGTCAACAGGGCTACCCACCACAGCAGCAGGGCTACGGTGAGTTACCTACGGGCACATATTTTTCCTGTAGGAGGCAGTATCGGCTCTCTTGGGCTATCTTCTTTACTGCTGAATAATAATTCCTTCTCAGTGAGTTGGTGGTAACTGCCCCTCGGAAATATAACTGTACCAAATGCATGTCAAGAAGACAGCAAGAGCAAAGAATTAAAGGACCGCCTTAATGAATGGTTCAGAGCTTGGTGGAAGAGAAATTTAATCAGTAATGGTGTTTGGCACCACATTAGCATTTCTCCTGGTGCCTCAGTTTGATATGACACACTGTTCTGAGGGAATGCGAGAGGAGCTTTGGCTGATGGGTGCAAACACTGGGCAAAGTGTGTCAACTGCCAGACGAATGTTTTTGAACTCCTTGCATTTTAGCACTTTGGATAAATAGCTAAGCAATCTGTCAATAAATGATTGTAACTTTTTTTAATGGTTTTGTTGAAACATTTTAAGACAGTTAGTCGTCACCATTGACAGACTCATGACAGAAGGCAAGCTACTAATTGTAGTAAACACTGACTGAAAAATTCTGAGAGACCAATGTTTCTTAATTCACTCATTGCTATTCCTGACTTCTAACTTTGGGTATTTACTCTAAGGTCAAGGCTTAGAGATTTAACCATTTAACCACAATTAATAAAGTCTAGAACGTCAAGAAAATGTTTGACTTGCATTTTAAGTATTGGTGTTCTTACAGCTCTTTAGGCTTTCTTTCCTTATCCCATGTTTCACTGGAACTTTCCATCACTCACCCTGTGTCTGAGCCAGAGCTCATGTTAGTAATGAGCTAGCAGAGAGGCAGAGGCTGTGAGGTGAGATCCATCTGGCACACACACATGGTTTCTCTCGCAGACCCCCACAAGGTTATGCTCAACAGTATAAGGCATTATGAGCGACTAACGATGCTGCGTGGGCCTCATTTGACTCTAGCCCCTGTCAAGCTTTGCTCGGTCCTTCACAGTGCCTGCATAGATAGTTGCAGTGTATGGGGGCTGATGAAGTGAATTTTTTTTTTTCTCCATTTTTTTAATGAAGCCTGCTCCTCTAATGAAGACCAACAGAATCTCCTTGATGTCTCCTTGCATTAGGGAACCATCGCCTGGCTCCAACCTGACTCACTCATTCTCATTCATTACTGAGTCAGGCATTGTGGAGGCAGCCTAAACAAATGGGTCTGACATATCCACATCCTCTCTTTGTCATCCATCAGCTTTTTTTATTGCAGCCCATTAGTGATAGTAAACTAACAGGGATTCCCAGGAGTTCTCAGAGTAACAAGTAGAAAACAGAGACAGTTAATGAGCAAAACTTGGGCCATTTTTACACTTGACTCCTTTGTTTGACTCTAAAGTTCAGTTGTCCCACCTCTTTCCAAGCAGGTGACAAGACCTGCATAAAAAATAAAATTCACAATATAACATGCATACATGAATAATCGTCCTGCTACAGTACAGATTGTGTCATAACTACATGCAAACCCTTCCATATTTAAAACGGAACTGATCATTTGAGTGGGTTAAGGTGTAAGGTAAGTATATTTTTGGGTCCACATTACCAAACTATTAGACAAACCGGATTCAATCCTGGATTCAAAAGAGATGCCCAGTGTGAACAATACCCACTTGGTTCCAGAGACAAAACATGCTGATGATAACGACATATTAGAAACAGCTTAGTTTTTGTTGACTGTGCTCAACAGCATTTTCAAATGTTGTTGGGTTTACTCAAGGCTGTCAAGCATAGATAATGTTACATTTAATTCTCAATGTTTGTCATAGGTCCCTCCCAAAGTGCCCCAGGACAGTATCCCAACTATCCTCAGGGGCAGGGACAGCAGTATGGGGGCTATCGCCCTCCTCAACCTGGACCCCCACAGGGCCAGCAGCAACGCCCTTACGGTTATGACCAGGTGAGTATACCCACAACACTGGACAGTCACAGAGACTTGTCTATACAGCGGTCTTAGTTTGTCCCTTATTATGTTTACTGCAAGATGTAGTTTTATATTTTGTGTAGTTTTCAGTGAGACCAGAGATGAATGTGAGTGAAGTTAGAAACATAAGTTTAAGAGGTAACATGTTGTGCATGCTGTCATCATATTGCGGGTTAATTCTGTTCTTCCCAAAAAGAGTGTATGTGTTACAAATGTCTTTCGCTTGTTAACCTGAGTCTTAGTAACATATCCTGGCTAATGTGGTATGCCATTCCAGTGAAATATGTGGGCTTTAAGAGGATTCTTCCTTAAACTTGATGCAGACTGCTCTAGTGTTTAAAGGGAGATCTATTTGTTGCCCTGTATTTCCTGTGGTCTTATGTGGGGACCACAGCTACACTTTGATATCTTTATCTTTGAATATTCAGGGGCACATGAGGAAATAAAGACCCGGGGATTTGAACCCCTGACTAGCTCTGTAAGAAGCAAAGGTAATGGTTGCTGTGAAGACCTCAACGTCCAATCTAGACGTTTGACCACCTAGCCTTAATTTGCATTTGTTATGTTTCTTCTGTCTCTTTTGTCTCTATCCTTCTTCCATCTTTCTCCTTTTCTTTAAGTTTTTTTCTTTGCTTTCTTTCTTTTTTTTTCTCTTTTTGATTTGTTATTAACCAGGGGTCGAATTGTAAGTCACGAGGTCCAGAAACACAGCATGCTTAATCTGCAGTGGGACAGCCAAAAGCTTACCTGCTTGAGCTGTTTTCCTTAATCTCTGCAATTTACTACACTGGTTTTGATGACTTTTTTGCTTATGATAAAACTCTGAAATATATTTGAATTAAAGATGTGATGTATATCAGACTGTCAAATAATTCCAAATTTGTTTCCATTGTATTTTCCATTAATGCCAAACACATACTTCGACCCCTGTTTAGATATGCATCAATTACTACTGTTCTTACACTGAATTTGTCTCACTTGAAACTAGTGTCCACTATTTGATATGGAACATTGTCCTCAGCCATGCTGCTGCTGAAACCTGAGGTATCAAGTTAGAATTTAGAGCTCACAAGTTGTGAGGCCATGCTGCCACCTGCTGGTCAATACCAGCAAATGCAGTCATAAATCATGGTTTGCAGTATGATATGGTTGAAACCACAGATGTTTGTTTGCACCCTATTGAGATCTGTGAATATAAGCTTTTACTTTGTGCTTTTGAGAAGGTGAGTAACATGTGTCTGTCACATTTCTCTCCACAGGGCCAGTATGGAAATTACCAGCAATGAGAGATGGTCACAGCAACCCACACAGCTCTGCTCTGATCTCTGTCTGAGTTTTGACCTCTGGTCATCCGCTCAGCAGACTTTAATGATGGTTGCGGCTCACTGAGATTTCTCTCTCAGACATGAACATACAACACTCAAAAATACAAGATACGTTTCCCCGTCTCTTTAGGCTCTTATCCTTGCCTGTAAAATGTATTCTGTTTATCATGTACATTGACTCGATAATGTCAAAGTCCACAACTCACCCTCTGGTCCAGTATGTCTCAAAGCAGCAATGCCTTAAAAATGGAACTGCCTTATCCTTCAGCATTGCAGATTGTGAAACGAGCTAACAAAATTTTGGATATCAGAGATGATTTAAATGTACAGTTTCAATCTACTGTGGTGCATTGTTTCTCTATCATTCAGCTCCCTGTTCATAAGAAGCAATAATGCCAGCAGTAGGGAAATGTGTGGGGGCTTAGAGATGAAATGATGCACCAGACAAACTTCCCGCTAGGCCATGGTACATGTCTTGATGTATGTGATGATGTAAAAATATATTTTATGCTTTTTAGACCAAGCTAACTTTGTATAAGACATTGGAAACTAGTACTAAAGCTGTGTTGTTTATTTCATAAAGTGTATGTGTCAATGTTTTTTTTATGATCTTAAATGATGATCCCATCCAGCACATTTTGTTTTGTTTTTTGATTTCTTTGGTTGTGTTGAATTGTGTAACTATTGATTTGGATCTGCTACTTCAGTGACACGGACACTGTTCAAATTCTTTGTGGAAAAATGAAAACTTAATTGACATGCAGAGAAAATCTTTCAAGGATAAATGCCAACAGCAGACCCGGAATTAGAAGATGTTAAATGTCTGAAATCATGTAACAGTTGCTATAGTCTGTGTTGAGCTGTGTTTTTAAGTCAGTGAAAAATATATATCAAATTTGGTTCATGAACAGATTACCTGACAGAATAATGGCCGTCGTTCTTCATTTAACATGTGCTCAAAGAGGTGATATGTAGCAGAAGCCACTGCGAACTGTAAGATAATGCTCTCTGGAGCCTTTTTTTTCTATACAAGCACCTCAATCTTGTCCATTGACTGCAAAGTGGTGAATGGGAAAGATGAAACTCGGTATAATAAATATTTCTGACAAGTAGTTTGTTTTGTTAGTCTTGACAATGCTGGAAACCCTTCTCCCCTTTGAATAAATGTCTAAGTTGATGTCATTCAAATAGTGTTGTGTGTGAATAATAAAGATTGTTACTGTCAAATATGTAACATAAGATGTGAAAATAATGTTCTGAAATGGATTCCTTAATTTCACAGTAAAGACTGGTTGTGCAGTTTTATATCACTGGCTTGATATCTGTTTTATGGTGCATACTTTATTGATCCCATATGTACAGCAACATAAAGAAGAGGAAATCCATGTCCTCTGGTATTGTTTATATATGGCTGTTTTAATATTTTGCATTCTGCACCCCATCCAAGTGGTGGTCACATTTGTGTCATGGCAATGTATAACTGTACATTATAATAAATTGGAAGAAGCTTTAATATATTTTGACTTGTGTTATTTGTAGCGTTTGACCTTATATTGAGATGCTGTTAATATAAAAGTACAAGACCATTCATCCAGACTACAACATAAACAAGATGTGCACTATTGGTGCCGTCATAATGTGACAGTATGATATAATTGTTTTGTCTTCATTTGCTATCTGGTAGTCAGTTTCCAACTGATAATGACCCTGCCCCGCTCAGCAGCATGCCTGCTTTGTCCAGATGCATCCAGAGAGGTCCAGAGCACATTTACACCCAAAATTACCTTCCGTGTCCCTCTTTCCCCTTCTGCTCCCTCCAGAGAGGGAGAGGGACTACCTGTCACATTGGGGGGAGTGATACAGATGGTACGCCAGATGTGTGGCCGAAGCACGTGATGGGAGAGCGGTGCTGGTGTTAAGAGGGCCACAGACTGTTTGGGTTGCCTTGGTGCCAGTGAGGAGTGTTTTTGTGTGTGTAAGTGCGGGTGAGTGCAGCAGAAGTGCTTTAAGAAAAGAAGGAATTGTGAACTTCTTGAGTGTGCCTATGTATAAAATTTGTGCATGCTCGTGTGTGCATTTGTGTACACTGCTCAGGTTTAGTGGCATCTCCTAGTCACCCCACCATCCTGCTGCTCCACAGCTGGCTGCCCCACCCTTCCCAGCTGCCACTGGGGCTCCCCCTGGCCCCTCTGCTTGGCAGAGCTGGCGTTTTGGGCGCTCCCCCACCAGTCCTCCCTGGCAGCTGCTGCCCTCAGCTGTGCTCTCGCAGACGGTATCGGGGTCGGACAAAGTCACTCCTCCTGTGACTGTGTCTGGGGCCGTTGGGGGAGGATGAAGAGGTGGCAAGGAGACTCTTACCTCCTATGGAAGATCTCCTTTTAAACGCTCATGAATTTAAATTGATGGGCACATCAAGGAGTTCTGGTCGGGTATAAATACATATGTGGTAGTTTATTAATGATTAACTTATGTAATTCAATATTACAAAAGTGTAGTCTCACAAAAAAAGATATCTTTGGCTGTGTAGTTCTAAATGAGTTATCAAGAAAGCCTAGAGGAGAGCATTACTCCATGCATGTTCTATGATGGTAAGGCAAATAGTGTGAAAAAGTGGCAGGATGATTATCTTGTTCAATATTTTGATAATTATAATTCAGGGCACCTTTCAGAGGAGGCTCCTAAGCACTGAGGGGAAAATGACATTGTGATCATAGCTGGCAGGCAAGATGTGATCTCTCTCTCTCTCTTTCTCTATCTCTCTTTCTCACTAACTCTCCCTTTCACTCTCTCATACCCACACTCTCAGTGTGACAGAAAGTCTATGGGGAGGTATAAGAGGTAGTTATGGGGGGAATGCAGCAGCCTCCACAGTTTAATTGGAGATGTGTCACACTAAATAAATGGTGCAAAAACAAGCGCTGACTGGAGGCTTGAGGGAGTGGCCCTGGGGATGCAGCCTGTTTTATTGGGCAGGAGCTTTGCACCGCTCCAGGGTGAAACGGGGCTATGCACTGCTGAGATACCCTCCAACCACCAAACCACCAGGCCTTCCAAAGACTACTGTGGAGGAAAAGACAAAGGCATTCGTTTCACCCCGCAGAAAAGCATCTTATTGGTGCCGATGAGAAGGTGTCGGTGAACTTGGTCGGTGACCTGATTGTTCCTCCTCAAGTAAAGGGCATATCATCGTCCTCATCTGCTATTTCAATTTCTGCACGCTGGCGAACAAATCCATAATTGTAAAACCTTGAGTAAGTGCTGTCTGCCTCGCTTGCTCCTAGATCTTATGTATGTCAATTTATGTTTTGAGAAGACGCCAGCCAGCAGCCTCCAGCCAATCCCATTTTCCTGTGTAATCCATACATGACCTCCAAGTTACCAGGAGAATGTGTTTTCCGATATTCTATCAATGTTGATATAACTGTTGTCTCGCTTTACTTATGCAGTATCTGTGTGTGTGTGTGTGTATGCATGCACCTTAGATTCCAGAGTTCATGGCACGAGTTTTGATTTACCTCTACAGTGTGCTGCAGTAATTGGATGTGACACCATTCTCTCTGCTCTCCCTGGGGGGGATATAACAGGAATCTGACTATTATGGCCCCAGTCATGAATATGTCACGACAGCTGCAAACAAAGGCCTGTGATTTGGATAAGACTCCTCTGTATGTTGTCTCCACACTGATATATGAGATAAATGCTTCAAAGGTAAATTAATTTTCTGTAAAGCAATTTGCTGTGTTTACAAAGAGTGATTAATTGCCATTGTTTGGAAAAAAAACTATGGTAGAGATGATGTTCAATATTACATGTTCATCGTTATGCCTCCCAGATATATACTTGCCTCCCAGATATTTGTGAAAGCTATTATATCTAGTTTCAAAACAACTGAAAGATATTTTTTGGACCTGACATACACAAACAGGGTGATCCCCTAGAAAGACATTGTTTTGCATGCACCTGACGTGCAGTGCTTTGTTTAAATCCCATCGTTTGTTGAGGGTTTAGCCATCAAATCAAATTGAGTGTGCTGTTTTGTATGTGTTCTAGCCTCATAAAAGTAGTCTCTGGGTGAAATAGCAGGTATGCTGATATCAGTATTCCCACAGCCTGCATAATTGCTGTAATTTGCTTTCCCTTTGGGTAATCTGTAAACATGGCTGTTTTGATGTTTTTGGCATCCTCCATTGGCTGAGCTCTCTACTCCTCCAGTGGAGCCCCCATCCCAGCCCAGGGTGACACAAATAGATCCTTCCCCAGAAGGCGCACGTAGTTCCACACGGGCACAATCAATACAGCCCAGTCGTCACTGGAACTGTGGCGGTATTAAAAGCACCCCGTGAGCTGGTTCTCACCACGGCGGTGTTTTAGGGAAATAAAGCTATTGATCCTCCAGGGCCTCTGGCAGAGCATTAACCTGGGCCCACAAATTAGAACGTGCTCATCTGGACACATCTGCCTGCAATGTTCTCAAAAAGCCAGTCCCAGGGAGAGAAAAGGAGGGATGCGAGGCCTGCTGCTTCCAATGATGAGTAGAGCGCTACTTGACGCCCATGTCAGAGCGGGGGAGGCATCTGGATGCCCAGGACTTCCATTAGAGGCCCAGGATGGTGGCATCGGTCGATGTGGTAAGGTTTGGTTGGGGGTACTCCATCTCAGATCAGTGTGGTTCCTTCCCCCTGATGTAGAGAAAGAGAGGGGGCTGACCCACAGTAAACCTGAGCTCCTGACTGGAAGGACAATGAGGGAAAGGGCTGCTTGTTCCAGCAATGTCAAAGACGCTGCCTCTTTGCCTCTTTTGTGCAATTTCCAGAATTTTCTATCATATTACACAGACATTCAGAAGAACTATCCACATTTCATGCATTTTCAGAACATTCTAAAGCACAAAGCAAACAGTAAATATTCACTGATTTATCCCCTTATTTGAAATATTATATACCACAACTCTTGGATTTAGCACAACAGTAAACTGCAATTTCCCATATTTTGATTACATTTTTATTTGTCTAAAAATCTAGAACTACCCATCACTCTATGGACTCCATGAGGCTATATGAGCCACTGATTCAAATGTGTCACTTGCTGGGGTGTCATACATTTCAGTAATTATATTTGACAAGGAGATCAGAGTCTGGTTACACAGAGATAGAGACACAAACACAGTTATGTGCATCTACATGCACAAACATAGTATGAAAGGTAAAGATCTACTGGCTGTTTATCCTTCATTTTAACCATGTGACCCTGAATGCAACCCACCTGTATGATAAGTGACCCCAATCTGATCCCTTCACCTTTTCTTTCTTCCATAACACAAAACGTAATTTAAGTGTGAATTCTGTTTCACCTATAGATTACATTTAAATGTCCTACAGGAGAGCTATTCTGTGCAGACATGTTTAAAACTATGTAAAAAAAAAAATCCGCTATGATTAATATTTTGTTTATCATGGTTTTACCACATAAAAACTAATGGGGCTGTAAGCACAGGCACACCTACGCTTACTTCCTGATTGAAAAATGGGTCAGGCCTTATGCCCCGCCCACCACCGCTGCTTGCGCTACGTCGACAGGTGAAACAAAGTTGCTATAAATTTGAGTTAAGGAGGAAACGTGGAGAGACACAGCCACATGTTTGAGCCTCAGTCAGACCCAGACTCAGGAGTTTTTGAGGAGGTAATTGTGCACCAAAATCGACTAGAAGACGTATTTGAATGGTAAGTGTTGTTAATTGGTCATGTTGTTAATTAGCTTGTTAGCTTGCAGTGGCTGATACAGTGTTAGTGGCTGTGCTTATGCTAACTTCTGCTCTCTGTACTGACAAGGTTTCGGTGATTGCTGAAGGAGCAGCGTGTATCAAGATGGTTACTGTTAGGGGAAATATCGGAGAGTACAGGTACATGTTTGAACCTCATTCAGACCCAGACTCAGATGAGAGGCTGTCCTGCACCAAAATTGGCAACTAGGAGACATATCAGAACGGTTAGCATCTTTTATTTGTTTATGCTGTTTGTTAGCTTGCAACTAGCAGTGGCTAACACAGTGTTAGTGGTTGTGGTAATGCAAACTCTTGCTCTCTGTACTGACAAGGTTTCGGGTTTAATTTGCCCGCCCCTCGTCCCCTAAAGTCGACGGGATTGGTTCCTTAGTTATATGACATATGAAACCCTGGCTGTCTGAATCATAGACTGTATTATGAGACTGTCACTGGTCTATGGCAGTTCCAAGGTGGAAATGAACAGGTATGGCGTTGACTGCTTATTTCGTATTGTATAAAAAAACATTATATAAAAACTAATATATGAAGATGTTAACAAAACTTGGTTTTCATTGGAGGGGGTCTTTAGGAAAGATTTATATGATTAGTGTTTACTGATCAAGAGAATCCATGTGTCTCTTTTAACAACACATCCACCAGCTATGCTCAAACAGACAGACGCTTTGGAAACTTTCCCTTTTTTTTTTTCAGCCTGCCCTAACAGTGGGAAGCTTGGAAGTTCTCTGCCCCAGTTCT